TCCCATCCCATCCATCCCATTGCATCTCATTGCATCCCATCCATCCCATCTCATCTAATCTGCCCCATCCCATTCATCCCATCCCATCCCATCCATCCCATCACATCCCATCCCATTGCATCCCATCCCATCCCATCCATCCCATCCCATCCATCCATCCCATCACATCCCATCCCATCACATCCCCTCAATGCACCCAAACCAGCCCCAATGCACCCAAATGAGCCCCAATGCACCCAAACCAGCCCCAATGCACCCAAACCAACCCCAGAGCACCCAAACCAACCCCAATGCACCCAAACCAACCCCAATGCACCCAAACCAACCCCAATGCACCCAAACCAGCCCCCATGCACCCAAACCAGGCCCAATGCACCCAAACCAACTCCGATGCACCCAAACCAACCCCAATGCACCCAAACCAACCCCAATGCACCCAAACCAACCCCAGTGCAACCAAACCAACCCCAATGCACCCAAACCAGCCCCATGCACCCAAACCAGCCCCAGTGCACCCAAACCAGCCCCAGTGCACCCAAACCAGCCCCAGTGCACCCAAACCAGCCCCAGTGCACCCAAACCAACCCCAGAGCACCCAAACCAACCCCAATGCACCCAAACCAGCCCCAATGCTGGATGTGGATAGGGTGATGCTGGATGTGGATGGAGTGATGCTGGGGTGAATGGGGTGATGCTGGGGTCGATGGGGTGCTATCAGGAGTGAACAGGGTGATACTGGATATGGATGGGGTAATGGTAGGGTGGATAAGGTGCTATTAGGAGTGAATGGGGTGCTGTTAGGAGTGCATGGGGTGCTATTAGGAGTGAATGGGGTGCTATTAGGAGTGCATGGGGTGCAATTAGGAGTGAATAGGGTGCTGTTAGGAGTGGATGGGGTGCTATTAGGAGTGCATGGGGTGCTATTAGGAGTGGATGGGGTGCTATTAGGAGTGGATGGGGTGCTATTAGGAGTGAATGGGGTGTTGTTAGGAGTGGATGGGGTGCTATTAGGAGTGAATGGGGTGCTATTAGGAGTGGATGGGGTGCTATTAGGAGTGGATGGGGTGCTATTAGGAGTGAATGGGGTGCTATTAGGAGTGGATGGGATGCTATTAGGAGTGGATGGGGTGCTATTAGGAGTGGATGGAGTGCTGTTAGGAGTGAATAGGGTGCTATTAGGAGTGGATGGGGTGCTATTAGGAGTGGATGGGGTGCTATTAGGAGTGGATGGGATGCTGGATGTGGAGGGGTTGCTATTAGGAGTGGATGGGGTGCTATTAGGAGTGAATGGGGTGCTATTAGGAGTGGATGGGGTGCTATTAGGAGTGGATGGGGTGCTATTAGGAGTGGATGGGATGCTGGATGTGGAGGGGTTGCTATTAGGAGTGAATGGGGTGCTATTAGGAGTGGATGGGGTGCTATTAGGAGTGAATGGGGTGCTATTAGGAGTGGATGGGGCGCTGTTAGGAGTGGATGGGGCGCTGTTAGGAGTGCATGGGGTGCTATTAGGAGTGGATGGGGTGCTGGATGTGGATGGGGCGCTATTAGGAGTGAATGGGGTGCTGTTAGGAGTGGATGGGGCGCTGTTAGGAGTGGATGGGGCGCTGTTAGGAGTGGATGGGGCGCTGTTAGCAGTGGATGGGTCGCTGTTAGCAGTGGATGGGGCTCTGCTGGCTGTGGATGGGCGCTGCCGGCAGTGGCCAGGAGCCCCCACCAAGCCCGTTCCCAGCTGCAGAACCACGTCTGCAGCTCCTGGCCCATTCCCAGCCTCCCAGGCAGCTCCTGCCTCCCGTGGGAAGCTGCTCCCACACCTCAGCCACCTCATCCCTGCCGAGGGCTGCATCCAAGCCGGCTCCGCTGGCACCGGCTCCGCGCTGCTCATCCCGCAAGTCCCGTGCTCCGCAGGGGCCCGAGCCCTTGATTCCAATGGGAATCCCGCAGGACGGGGGGTCGGGAGCATCCCAGCAAGAGCCCGGAGCTCCCCATTGAGCGCTGCGCCCATAAATCACCCCCCGGTCCCTTGGCCGCCTCCTGGCTGGAGGTCAGGGAACGGCTCCATGGGGTTCCCGTGCCCGGTGCCCGAGGGAGGATTTGTGCCTCGTATCCTGCTTGGATCCTGTTCCTCAGAGCATCCCATTCATTGCGGGGAGGGGGGAAAGGGGGTGAGGGGAAGCTCCCGGGGCAGGATTGCAGCACCCGGATGCGGGCTGTGGGGTGCTCCAAGTGCTCTGGGGGGAGAGCAGCCAAGCCCCAGTGTGGGAACACCTCCTCCTGGCGCTGCGCCCTTGGGGTTTGCTCCATGCCATCGCATTCGGCCGTCGCCGCGTTCAAACCGGGCTCAGGAGCACCGAGGGCTTCGGTTTCCCTGCGTTGGGATGAAACCCTTGCTCTTTGGGCTCAGCGGTGAGGCTGGATGAAGATGGCCCCACGCAGCCCGGTGCCGCCAGCGCTTTGGTCCCCATCGACCAAGGTTTGGAGCCTCGTCCCGGTCTCTTCCCCACTGGGATGGGGATGGTCTCAAGTGTCCGCGGGGATGGGGCACCCTGAGCTCCAGGCGTGCTCCGAGGATGGAGCCGAAGGCTTCTGGAATCCCCATCCGGGCTGCACCCAATGCCCAGGCTCTGTTTCTGGGATGAAGGACCAGGAGGGCTCCATAGGAGCAGGAGCATCCCGGCTTGGGGGGTCCCCTCTAGAGCAGCAGGGATGTGGATGAAGCTCATCCGTGGGCAGCAGGAGCCAGCACGGAGCATCCCTGGCACGTTGGGAATATCCCCCCCTGTTCAGGACCCATGGTTGGGCTGCGGGAGCCGGAGGGGCCGTGGGGCTAAGCCAGGATAATCCCATCTTTGGCTGCTCTCCATAGGGAAGTGCTGGGGTTTGTTGGTCCATCCTGTCCCCTGCCCGGAGGCTCCTGGACCAGAGGACCAGGAGAGGATGAGGGACCACGGTGGTGCTGGCTCCTTGCTGAGGTTATGGGGCTCTTCTCCCCATCCCTGCATGGGTTTAGGGGGCCAGGAACGGATCTGGACCTTGATGTGGTCCAAAGGGGGCTGATGTCCATGGGGATGGGGCCCACATCATTGGGGACAAAAGGCACCGACGGCGGCAGCAGCAAAGGAGGGGTTAAGGAATGGAGCCAGCATCATCTCCGTGTGGTTTCCTTCTGGTGCCCACATCCCATGGGGCAGATGAGGAGCGTGGAGCCCATGAGATACGGGGCAGGAAGGGGAAGAACCAGGAAGTCACGAGATGCCCCATAAGGAAACAAGAGGGAGGCGTAGGAGGGGCCTGAAGATGGAGAAGCCAAACACGAATCCATGAGCCCTTGAGCTGGGGTGGGCTATGGGGTCCATAGGGCTGGATCCCCCCATCCAGGGATGGAGGCAGCCGCAGTCCTTTGGGAGCTTTATTTCACCCAACAGATCCCATTCCTAGTGTCACACGGGTGATCAAAGTGCAAGTGGTGTCCCCAAGAGCCAGGGCTGGGTTTGGGGACATGTCCATGGGGATGGGGGCACGTCCATGGGGATGGGGGCACGTCCATGGGGATCAGGATGGGGATATGTCCATGGTGATGGATACATGTCCATGGGGATGGGGGCACGTCCATGAGGATGGGGGCACATCCATGGGGATGGGGGCACGTCCATGGGGATCAGGATGGGGATACATCAATGGGAATGGGGACACGTCCATGGGGTTGGGGATGGGGATATGTCTATGGTGATGGATACATGTCCATGGGGATGGGGGCATGTCCATGAGGTTGGGGATGGAGACACGTCTATGGGGATGGGGATGGAGACACGTCCATGGGGATGGGGATGGAGACACGTCCATGGGGATGGGGATGGAGACACGTCTATGGAGATGGAGACACGTCTATGGGGATGGGGATGGAGACACGTCTATGGGGATGGGGATGGAGACATGTCTATGGGGATGGAGACACGTCTATGGGGATGGAGACACGTCTATGGGGATGGGGATGGAGACACGTCTATGGGGATGGAGACACATCTATGGGGATGGAGACATGTCTATGGGGATGGGGATGGAGACACGTCCATGGGGATGGAGACATGTCTATGGGGATGGGGATGGAGACACTATGGGGATGGAGAGCATGGGGATGGAGACATGTCATGGGGATGGGGATGGGGGGATGGGGACATCCCCTGGCCCTGACCCAGCCCTGGCAAAAGTCCTGAGTCGAAAGGAATTCGGTGCCAAACACACACACGTGTACACATGTTTATACACACACGTGTACAGATGTACATATACACACACGTGTACACATGTACATATACACACACGTGTACACATGTACATACACACACGTGTACACATGTACATATACACACACGTGTACACATGTATATACACACACGTGTACACATGTACATATACACACAGACGTGTACAGATGTACATATACACACACGTGTACACATGTACATACACACACATGTGTACACATGTACATACACACACACGTGTAAACACACATGTGTACACATGTACATACACACACGTGCACACACACACGTGTACCACATATGTACACAGTCACACACACGTGCACACACACATGTGCATCCACACACGTGCACACACACACACGTGCACACACACACACGTGCACACACACGTGCACACACACGTGCACACACACACGTGCACACACACATGTGCATCCACACACATGCACACACACACGTGTACCACATATGTACACACTCACACACACGTGCACACACACATGTGCATCCACACACGTGCACACACACACACATGCACACACACGTGCACACACACACGTGTACCACACATGTACACACTCACACACACGTGCACACACACATGTGCATCCGCACACGTGCACACACACACACACACGTGCACACACACACACACACACGTGTACACCCAGTGCACGCGTAGCAGCAGTGCCAGGGTCCCAGCACCCAGCGGTGCCCCCGGGCCCCCCCTGGGTCCCTCTGCGGTGGCCTCAGGCCCTGGGCTGGGAGCTGAGCCCCGGCACCGCCTCCTCCCCGGAGCCGCTGCTGTCCGAGGGCCCGCTGCTGGCGGGGGGCAGGAAACCTGGGTGTGGGGCACGGGACACACGTGGGGACGGGGATGCGGACATGTATGGGGCAGGTATGGGGACAGGTATGGGGATATGTATGGGGACATGGATGGGGACATGGATGGGAACATGGATGGGGACATGGATGGGGACAGGTGTGGGGCAGGTAGGGGGACACGTGGGACATGGATGGGGACATGGATCGGGACATGGATGGGGACAGGTATGGGGACATGGATGGGGACAGGTATGGGGACATGGATGGGGCAGGTATGGGGACATGGATGGGGACATGGATGGGGCAGGTATGGGGACATGGATGGGGACATGGATGGGGACATGGATGGGGACATGGATGGGGACAGGTATGGGGACATGGATGGGAACATGGATGGGAACACGTATGGGGACATGGATGGGGACAAGTGTGGGGACATGGATGGGGACATGGATGGGGACAGGTATGGGGACATGGATGGGGACATGGATGGGGACATGGATGGGGACAGGTATGGGGACAGGTATGGGGACAGGTATGGGGACATGGATGGGGACATGGATGGGGACATGGATGGGGACAGGTATGGGGACAGGGATGGGGACATGGGGACAGGATGGGGCAAGTATGGGGCAGGTGTGGGGACAGGTATGGGGACATGGATGTGGATGGGGACATGGACATGGGGGACATGGATGGGACGTATGGGGACATGGATAGTGTGGGGACATGGATGGGGACATGGATGGGGACATGGATGGGGCAGGTATGGGGACAGGTATGGGGACATGGATGGGGACAGGTGTGGGGCAGGTATGGGGATATGTATGGGGACATGGATGGGGACATGAATGGGGACAGGTATGGGGCAAGTATGGGGCAGGTATGGGGACAGGTATGGGGACATGGATGGGGACAGGTGTGGGGCAGGTATGGGGACATGGATGGGGACATGGGGACATGGATGGGGACAGGTATGGGGCAGGTATGGGGACATGGATGGGGACATGGATGGGGACAAGTATGGGGACATGGATGGGGACAGGTATGGGGCAGGTAGGGGGACACGTGGGACATGGATGGGGACATGGATCGGGACATGGATGGGGACAGGTATGGGGCAGGTATGGGGTCAGGTATGGGGATATGTATGGGGCAGGTATGGGGACATGGATGGGGACAGGTATGGGGACACGTGGGACACATATGGGGACACATGGGACAGGTATGAGGGCACGTGGGACATGTATGGAGACACGTGCGACACATGGGGCCACGTGGGACATGTATAGGGGTACGTGGGGACATGTATGGGAACACATGGGACGTGTGGGACACGCATGGGGATACATGGGACATGTATGGGGACATGTATGGGGACACGTATGGGGACACGTGGGGCACATATGGGGACACGTATGGGGACCCATGGGACACGCGCTGCCCTCCCATTATGGGAAACCCCAAGAACTTACTTCTGCGGATGGCAGCGGAGGGATGGAGGGACCGGATGGGTTCCTTGTGGGCATCACCATCACCATCATCATCATCAGTATCATCATCATCATCACCATCATCATCATCATCATCATCCTCCTCACTGACACTCAGCACCTGCAGCAGGATGGGTGAGGAGCGGCACATGTGTGTAAATCACTGCATCCCTCTCCATGCGTGTGCAAGGCATCCCCCCATCACCCTGGTACCCCTCCATCACCCTGGTACCCCCCCATCACCCTGGTACCCTCCCATCACCCTCGCATCCCTCCATCACCCTGATACCTCCCCATCACCCTGGTACCCCCCATCACCCTGGTACCCCCCCATCACCCTGGTAACCCCCATCACCCTGGTAACCCCCCATCACCCTGGCACCCCCCATCACCCTGGTACCCCTCCATCACCCTGGTACCCCCCCATCACCCTGGTACCCCCCCATCACCCTGGTACCCCCCATCACCCTGGTACCTCCCCATCACCCTGGTACCCCCCATCACCCTGGTACCCCCCATCACCCTGGTACCCCCCCATCACCCTGGTACCCCCCCATCACCCTGGTATCTCTCCTCACCTCCTCCACCTCAAAGGAGTCCCTGGTGGGTCCTTGGGGTGATGGGAGCATCCCCGTGTCCCTCTGCCTCCCCCAGCGCTGGCCCCTGCTCCAAGCCCGGTGGCCACCAGCCCTTGGTGTGTCCGGGTGCAAGGTAGCACCCATGTGGCACCCATGGGACCCCGCTTTCCACCCCAGCCAGGTCCCATAGGAGCCAGAGCCGAAGCCGGAGTCCCCCTTGTCCCATGGCTGCTGGGGGGGGACCCACACTTTGCTGCCATGGGGATGCGGCGCTGGGGACAAGGTGCCCCATTGCCACCCAGCAGCCGTGCCCGGTCCATGCTGCTCCCACTCTGGAGCACACGGAGCATCCCTGTCCCCATGTGCCACCACCATCGGGGTACCCAATAACCCCCCGCTATGGGGACAGGGCAGCTCCGGGGGTCCCCATGCAGCACCAGGATGGACCCCATCCGCATCCCTTCTCCATCCTTCCAGGGCATCACCTGCATCCCACCGGGATGGCTCCAGCCCCGGCCCCATAGCACCGGGCTGGATGGGGGGCCCCGGGGGGTTGCCTTCATCCCTTGGGGGTGCGTAGAGGCACATGGTGGCCACGGCTCTCTTCAAGCGCTGCACGGGCGAGAGGGCTCCGGGTTGGGATGTTGGGATGTGGATGTTGGGAATGTCGGGATGAGCCCTGGAGCAGCAGGAGGGGGACAGGCGCCGCACGGGGCTCCGGGACACGTAGGAGTAGAGGCAGAAGAAGGCATCGGCCGTGGTGGCCAGAGCCTGGACCTGCTGGAAGCGACCTGGGAAGGACAAAGGGAGGTGGGAAACTGGAGCCTCATTCCCAATGGGGTGAATCCCATGGGATCAGGGCGGGGGGGCAGGCGCCGCTCACTGGCCAGCGTCAAGCAGGGATCCTCCATCTCCATGCGCCGCACTTGGGCCTTGAGGAAGAGCTGGAAGTCGATGCCCTTGGCGCGGGATGGAGCCGTGAAGAACCGCACGGGGACCCGGGATGCGGTACCCGGCTCGCTCGGCACGAAGCCCAGCTCGGAGAGGATCTCCTCAGCATCCGCCTCCCAGCGCTCCAGCACCTCGGAGATGCTGCGGGGATGTGGGGCAGCCCCATAGGGGTGAGCATCACCAACGGGGGAGCCCAAGCACCCCTCGAAGACACACACACACACACACACACACCCCTCTCTAGGTTCTACCTGGAGCTGGTCTTGGTGGTGAGGCTGGAAGCTGTGCTGTGGCCCAGGCTGAGGCGTTTGGCCCTGTGGTGGGATGGGGATGGGGTGGGAACGGGGTGGGATGGGGATGGGGATGGGGGTGGGAATGGGGTGGGGATGGGGATGGGGTGGGGATGGGGTGGGGATGGGGATGGGGATGGGGATGGGGATGGGGTGGGGATGGGGATGGGGATGGGGTGGGGATGGGGATGGGGATGGGGATGGGGATGGGGATGGGGATGGGATGGGGATGGGGATGGGGATGGCGATGGGGATGGCGATGGGGATGGCGAATGAGATGGCGATGGGGATCGGGAGAGAGATCGCGATCGCGAATGGAATGGGGATGGGGATGGGGATGGGGTGGGATGGGGTGGGGATGGGGATGGGGATGGGGATGGGGTGGGGATGGGGTGGGATTGGGATGGGGATGGGATGGGATGGGGTTGAGATGGGGATGGAATGGGGATGGGGATGGGGATGGGGATGGGGATGGGGATGGGGTGGGGATGGATGGGGATGGGGATGGGGTGGGAAGGGGTGGGATGGGGGTGGGAAGGGGTGGGATGTGGATGGGGATGGGGTGGGGATGGGGATGGGTATGGAGATGGTGAAGGGGATGAGAATGGGGATGGGGATGGGGATGATGCCAATGGGTGCATGGGGACAGTGGTCCCCAGATCCCCACCAGCCTCAACCTAGGACCCCAAACCTCACCTGCTCATGGCCTTGCTGCTCCCTGGAAGCAGGAGAGCTGGAAAAGGGGGCAGAGAGGAGCGAGATGGGGATGTGTGGGGCCACACGCATCCCACCCCATGGACACAGAGCTCGGGGGCAGCCCAGCCCCATCTCCTGCAGGAGAAGCTGCTGCTGGTGGCAATGGAAGGGCAATGACACCCTAGGGGTGCTGGTACCTTCAGCTCCCAGGGTCAGGTCATCCTCGAAGCTGGTCCCAGTGCTTCCATACCCTGCAATGGTGTGGGATGAGATGTGGGGCCACAGGGATGGGTCCCGTGGTCCTCAAGGGCCATTCCCCTGCACCCAAGGGCTTTGGGGACACAGAGGGACCAGAGGTACCCCAGGAGAACCATGGGGACCAAGGCAACGCACCCTGGGGACCCGGCAAGCCCGGCTCCTCTGGTGGGACCTCAAGGGATGACCTGGACCAGAGCAGAGCCTTGGTCACATCACCCTGTCCCGAAGGGGATGGAGGTGGGATGGGAGAGCTGGGAACAGCAGGATGGGCAGGGGGGAATGGGATGCAGGGGATGGGGAGCAAGGAGATGGGGTTTGGGCTTGGTGGGATGCTCAGAGGGGATCCAATAGGAAAAGGGGCACTGGGGCAAGGGATGCAGGGACAGGACGAGGGGATCCAATAGGAAAAGGGGTTTGGGCCAAGGGATGCAGGGACAGGACAAGGGGATCCAATAGGAAAAGGGGTTTGGGCCAAGGGATGCAGGGACAGGACAAGGGGATCCCATAGGAAAAGGGGCTTTGGCCAAGGAATGCAGGGACAGGACAAGGGGATCCAATAGGAAAAGGGGTTTGGGCCAAGGGATGCAGGGACAGGACAAGGGGATCCAATAGGAAAAGGGGGTTGGGGCAAGGGATGCAGGGACAGGACAAGGGGATCCAATAGGAAAAGGGGTTTGGGCCAAGGGATGCAGGGACAGGACAAGGGGATCCAATAGGAAAAGGGGTCTTGCCCAAGGGATGCAGGGACAGGACAAGGGGATCCAATAGGAAAAGGGGTTTGGGCCAACGGATGCAGGGACAGGACAAGGGGATCCAATAGGAAAAGGGGCCTTGCCCAAGGGATGCAGGGACAGGACAGGGGGATCCAATAGGAAAAGGGGTTTGGGGCAAGGGATGCAGGGACAGGACAAGGGGATCCAATAGGAAAAGGGGTTTGGGGCAAGGGATGCAGGGACAGGACAAGGGGATCCAATAGGAAAAGGGCTTTGGGGCAAGGGATGCAGGGACAGGACAGGGCTATCCAATAGGAAAAGGGGTTTGGGGCAAGGGATGCAGGGACAGGACAAGGGGATCCAATGGAAAAGGGTTTGGGCCAAGGGATGCAGGGACAGGACAAGGGGATCCAATAGGAAAAGGGGTTTGGGGCAAGGGATGCAGGGACAGGACAAGGGGATCCAATGGAAAAGGGGTTTGGGGCAAGGGATGCAGGGACAGGACAGGGGGATCCAATGGAAAAGGGGCCTTGCCCAAGGGATGCAGGGACAATACAAGGGGATCCAATAGGAAAAGGGGTTTGGGGCAAGGGATGCAGGGACAGGACAGGAGGATCCAATAGGAAAAGGGGTTTGGGCCAAGGGATGCAGGGACAGGACAAGGGGATCCAATGGAAAAGGGGTTTGGGGCAAGGGATGCAGGGACAGGACAAGGGGATCCAATGGAAAAGGGGTTTGGGGCAAGGGATGCAGGGACAGGACAGGGGGATCCAATAGGAAAAGGGCCTTTGGCCAAGGGATGCAGGGACAGGACAAGGGGATCCAATAGGAAAAGGGGCCTTGCCCAAGGGATGCAGGGACAGGACAGGGGGAGATTGGGATGAGCTCTTATGCAGAAGCTCTTCCCAGCGAGCGTTCTGGGCCCCTGGAATGGGCTCACTGCAGGAGCCCCCCCTGCCCATGGCGCTTTCATCTCCCTTCCATCCCACCCCATTCCTTGCTCCCATTCCCTCCTTCCCACCAGCACCCCTCTGCCCGCTTGGGTGCAGGCCTTCCATGAGGACCCATGAGCATCACCCCCCCCCCCCCTTTCCCTCTCCCCACGGCACCATTCCCACTGGGAACGCCGCCGCTCACCCGCACTCCCGCAGCCACAGCTCGATCTTCCCGCCTGCGCTTCCTGCCCTTGGGAAGGCACCCATGGGGCGCACGCCTCGGGGCCCCCCATTCCCGGGGCATCCCCATTGACCTGCAAGGGGGCCGTGGGGCGGCTGTGGGTCGGGGTCGTCCCATGGGGCAGAGGCCGCGTCCTCGAGCGCCAGCATCGAATTCCTCCAGCTCCGGCTCTGCCGGACCCAGGCGCGGCGCCGCTGCCACGGTGAGGGGCTGAGCACGGACGTGGCCTCCATGGCTGGGGGTGTCCCTATGGGAGAGGGAATGGGGGGAGGGGGGGGGGTCCATGGGGTGCTCCACAAAGGGGGGGGTCTGGGTGCCGATGGGATGGGGAGGAGGAGGGGGGGGGGGGGGGGGGGGAGGATGGGGATGGAGCTGCTGGAGCTGAGATAAGGATGAGCTGGACCAGGGGTGGGGTTGGAACTTCCTCACTGGAGAGGGGATTCCTGTCCCATCCCACCCCCATCCCCATCCCCATTCCATCCGCATCCCGTCCCCATCCCGTCCCCATCCCACCCCCATCCCATCCCCATTCCATCCCATCCCCATCCCCATCCCCATCCCATCCCCATCCTGTCCCCATCCCGTCCCCATTCCACCCCCATCCCATCCCCATTCCATCCCATCCCATTCCCATCCCATTCCCATCCCATCCCCATCCCACCTCCATCCCATCCCCATCCCACCCCCATTCTATCCCCATCCCATCCCCATCCCATCCCCATCCCGTCCCCATCCCATCCCCATCCCCATCCCATCCCCATCCCATCCCCATCCATCCCCATCCATCCCCATCCCGTTCCCATCCTCATCCCCATCCCACCCCATCCCCGTCCTACATCCCCAAAGCACAGCAGAGCCCCACATCCCTGGTGAGCTCCTGAAGCATTCCCTCATCTCCATCCCTCATCCTGAGCCCCCTCAGCACAGCTCCTGGTTGGGGACAGGGACCCCACAGCCCAGGCAGACCCCATAGGCACAGGGATGGGTTTCTGGAGCCATCCACATGTTCCACATGCATCCCTATGGATGAGCATTGCCGGAGCAGGAGCATCCCCATCCAGCCATCGCTGGAGTGGGACCATCCCAGCCCCATTCACCCCCGGCAGCAGCAGCATCCCGGTCCAGCTTCAACCCCATCCTAGGCCCCACAGAGCCCTGGGAGATGCTGTGAGCATCCTGGGGAGCACCAACAGCTCCCAGATCCAATGGGATCACCAAGCTGGGGCTCTGTGTCCTGGAGCATCCCAACCCCATCCCCTCTGCTCCCACAAAAGCCTTTCCCATCTGCTCCGGATGCAGGAATCCCCTCTCCCCATCACCCCCATAGCCCTGCCACGTGTCCCCCCCCCATCTCCATCCCCTCCATCCCCATCCCTATGGGGCCAAACCAGCCCCAAACCCCTCTGGAGCTCACCGGTGTTGGGGGAAGGGGGGGGGGGGGGAGGCAAGGGATGCTCTATGTGGGGCAAGGGGCCCTGAGCTGCCCCACGGCGGCCCCGGTGTCAGTGGGGCCGAGGGAGCTCATGTGCTTGGAGGAGGAAATGGGGAGAAGTCAACGGCAAACCTCAAATGGGGCCCACATCCGCCATGGGGGGGATGACGTGGGGCAGGGGGGGGGTGGACGGTGACAGCCAGAGCCACCCCATGGTGCCCCTGGGTCCTGCCCCCAATGGGGGCTGAAAGGCTCCAATGGGGGGCATCAAAGGCTTGGGGGGGGCTTGGAGAGGAGGAGGAGGAGGAGGAGGAAGGGGAGGGTGAGGGGAAGGGATAAAGAGGGGAAGGAGGAAGAGAAGGAGGGAGGAGGAGGAGGGGAAAGAAAGAGGAAGAGGAGGATAAGGAGGACAAGGAGGAGGAGGATGAAGAACAGAGGACGAGAAGGAGGAGGAGAAGGAGAAGGAGAAGGAGAAGGAGAAGGACGAGGAAGAGGAGGATGAAGAAGAGAGGAAGAGGAGGAGGAGGAGGAGGAGAAGGAGAAGGGGAAGGGGAAGGGGAAGGAGAAGGAGGAGGAGGAGGAGGAGAAGGAGAAGGAGAAGGAGGAGGAGGAGGAGATGGAGGAGAAGGAGGAGGAGGAGAAGGAGATGGAGGAGAAGGAGGAGGAGGAGGAGGAGGAGGAGGAGGATGAAGAAGAGAGGAAGAGAAGGAGGAGGAGGAGGAGGAGGAGAAGGAGAAGGAGAAGGAGAAGGAGAAGGAGAAGGAGAAGGAGAAGGAGAAGGAGAAGGAGAAGGAGAACGAGAAGGAGAAGGAGAAGGAGAAGGAGAAGGAGAACGAGAAGGAGAACGAGAAGGAGAAGGAGGAGGAGGACGAAGAGGAGGAGAAGGAGGACAAGGAAGAGGAGGATGAAGAAGAGAGGAAGAGAAGGAGGAGGAGGAGGAAAAGAAGGAACAGGAGGAAGAGGGGAAAGAAAGAGAGGAAGAGGAGGTTAAGGGGGACAAGGAAGAGGAGGTTTGAAGAGAGGAAGAGAAGGAGGAGGAGGAGAAGAAGGAGGAAGAGTGGAAAGAGAGGAAGAGGAGGATAAGGGGCCAAGGAAGAGGAGGATGAAGAAGAGGATAAGGAGGAAGAGGAGGATAAGGAGGACAAGCAAGAAGGAGGATGAAGAAGAGAGGAAGAGAAGGAGGATGAGGAAGAGGACAAAGAGGAGAAGGAGAAAGAAAAGGAGGGCGAGGAGGAGGGAGATGAGGAGCAGGCCAAGGAGGAGGAGGAAGATGAGGATGAGGATGGAATGACCCCCCCCCAAATCCCACCGGGGGACCCCGCGGTGCTCACCTCCAATGGGGACATCACGGGGGCATCCCTGGTCCTTCCGGATCCCCCCCCACACACACACAACCGGAGCCGGGATCCCGTCATAAAAGGCCAAGGATCTCCGGGAATGGGGCTATTTTTAGCCCGGGAGCGCTTGTGGGTGAAGGCTGGAATTAACTGTTCCTTTGGCACGTCCAGCCCTGCGGGAGAAAGGGGGGGGGGATCGGGATTGGGATCACCCAGCACATCCCATGGGAAGGATGGACACGGTCCCTTCATCCGGCTCCGTTCCTGAGGGACCCCCAGGATGAGGGAGGCCAGGAGGGTTTGGGATGGAGCAGGGGATCTGTATGGAGCATCCCTATGGGAAGGATCCAGGATGAGGCAGGATTAAACCCTGGGATTAGGGATTTCCCCCCAGGATCGGGGTGGGGGGGGATGGGTCCATCCCTTCGCACATCCCTAATGAACATTGGCTGCATCCCATGGGATCAGGGACACGGATAGGACCATGAAGGGGGTTTGGGGGGGGAGCACCTCCCCTGCAGCAGCACCTTTACCTGCACCCCAGCACCCTGCCTGTGTGTGCTGATGGGTGCTGATGGGTGCTGATGATGGGTGCTGGGGTGGGGTGGGGGGGGTCCTCTGGACCAGCCCCCATCGCTTCCCACATTCCTGCTTGACCTACTTAAGGGCTCCTTCCTCCCGGATCCCGGCATGAATAAGTGATGGGACACGCACTTATGGCTCCTGCAGCAGAGGGGGGGCCCCCCCCCCCGACCCAAATACTATGGGGTATAGGATGCATCATGCCTATGGGGTGCAGCCCCATGCAGGACACCCTGCAGACCCCCAACCCCTCTGTGTGTGTGTGTGTGATGCCCCCCCCCCATCCTCTCTTTTTAGGGTGCCCCCATGCAGCCCCCCCCCCCCAATCCCTGTGTCCATCCCCAAGCATGGGGCTGGCCCCATGACCCCTCCTGGACCAAATCAGTGCCACCCCACTGAGGGACCCCCATTAGGACACATAAGGGGGTGCGGGAGGGGGGATGACACCCCAAAAAGCACCAGCCCTGTCCCTGTGATCTGGGTACATGGCAAGGGGGGGGAGGCACATGGGGGGGGTACTGGTATGTGTGGGTCACTCCTGCTGCCTGCTGCCCATCCCAGGGCCTGCCCCTGTGGCCATCCCTGTGTCCCTGCGTCCATCCCTGTATCCCGGGATCTATGTCCCTTTATCCCTGCATCCATCCCTGCATCCCAGAATCTATGTCCCTGTGTCCATCCCTGTGTCCCGGAGCCCATCCTTGTGTCCCTGTTTGTATCCTTTTGTCCTGGGATCTATGTCCGTGGGTCTGTCCCTGGCTCCATCCTTGTGGCCATCCCTGTATCCCGGGAGCTGTCTGTGTGCCTGTCCTTGTGTCCCTGGATCCATCCCCGTGTCCCTGTGTCCATCCCCATATCCCTGTATCCATCCCTGTGTCCATCCCCATATCCCTGTGTCCATCCCCATGTCCCTGTCTCCATCCCTGTGTCCATCCCTGTGTCCATCCCCGTGTCCCCATGCCCATCCCCGTGTCCATCCCCATAGCCCTGTGTCCATCCCCATGTCCCTGTGCCCATATCCCTGTATCCATCCCTGTATCCATCCCTGTGTCCACCCCCATGTCCCTGTGTCCCTGTGCCCATCCCTGTGTCCCTGTGTCCATCCCCATATCCCTGTATCCATCCCTGTATCCATCCCTGTGTCCATCCCATATCCCTGTATCCACCCCTGTATCCATCCCTGTATCCATCCCTGTGTCCATCCCTGTATCCGTCCCTGTGTCCATCTCCATATCCCCGTGTCCATCCCCATATCCCTGCGTCCCCGTGCCTCATCCCCGTGTCCACCCCCATGTCCCTGTATCCACCCCTGTATCCATCCCCGTGTCCACCCCTGTGTCCACCCCTGTATCCATCCCCGTGTCCACCCCTGTATCCATCCCTGTGTCCATCCCATATCCCTGTATCCATCCCCGTGTCCATCCCATATCCCTGTATCCACCCCCGTGCCCATCCCCGTGTCCACCCCTGTATCCATCCCCGTGTCCATCCCACATCCCTGTGTCCACCCCTGTATCCGTCCCCGTGTCCCCGCTCCCACCCCAGCTCCCGGTCCCGGTGCCCATCCCCTGTGTCCCCGCCTCTGTCCCCGCCCCGGGTCCCACCGCCCGTCCGTGCACCGGGACCAGGGGCCGGGGCGGGGCCCGGGGCGGGGCCGGGGCCGGGACCCACCGGGAGCCACCGGGAGCCACCGGAGCCGCCGCCGCCGCCCGTTATGGAACCCAACAGCCCCCGTAAGATCCAGTTCACGGTGCCGCTGCTGGAGCCGCACCTGGACCCGGAGGCGGCCGAGCAGGTTCGGAGGGACCGGGGATGGCGGTGGAGATGCGGGCACGGGAAGGGCGCGGCGGAGGCACCGGGAGCGGCCGCGGCCATCACCGCGGTATCGGGGCGGCGCTGGCCCCGCTGGGTACCGGGGGTTGGGGGGGGGGAACCAGGGCCATGTGCGGGCTCCTTACGACGCCCAGGGCTGGGTGTTGGGTTTCGGTGTGTCCCCCCCCCCAAAAACCTTCCTCTGGGTCCTTCCAGGTGGAGGGGACCCAATGGGGTGGGCGATGGGGGGGGGGACGGGGGACCCCTCTCTCTGCCCCCCAACACCCTGGGGGATGCAGGGGACAAGGGGGGGGGGGGGGGTCTTGGCCGGTCCCCCCCCATCACCGGGGTGTGAAGCTCAGTGGGGTCTCAAGGATGATGCTGATGGGGGGTAATGGGGGGTCCCCCTGTGACAGCAGCTTGGTGTCCCCCCCCCAAATGCAGGCACGCACTTGGGGGTCCTCATCCCCCCCCCCCCAAAGTGAGGGCAGGAGCCGGCGGGTGCAGGAGGAGCAGGGACCCCCATTGCCCCCCCCCCCAACCATGCTATGGGGGGGGGCTCGGCCGGACCCTGCCTCAGTTTCCCCTCCCCGGGGGGGGGGGATTCAGCCCCATCCTGGTGCCTGGCGGGGATGCTCCCCCCCCCCCCCCACGTTTTCAGGGCTCTTTTGGGGGTCCCTGCAGGGCTGCGGGCTCCCCACAATGGGGGGGGCTCGCTCCTGTCCCCCCCTGCCACGTGTCCTGTGGGGCTCGGCCCCATGGAGCTCCTTAACCCCCACCCCTGTCCCCCGGTGAGCACCCCCCCCCCCCCCCCGGCCCTGCTCCCGGCCGGATCCCTCGGCCCATTCCCGATCCCGATCCCAGCGCGGCCCGGGCCCCGCTCCCGCTGCCCTGAATCGATGGTGGAGATGGAGCTAAAAATAGCGGCGGAAGGGAGAGGAGCCTGGGACGGGAGGGGATGGGAGGGAGGGAGGGAGGGAGGGAGGGAGGAATAGGGATAGGGATGGGGATAGGGAGGGAGATAGGGAGAGATGGAGATAGGGAGGGAGGGATGGGGATAGGGATGGGGATAGGGAGGGTGGTAGGGAGAGATGGAGATAGGGAGGGATGGGGATAGGGAGGGAGATAGGGAGAGAGGGAGATAGGGAGGGATGGGGATAGGGAGGGAGAGATAGGGATGGGGATAGGGAGGGGGATAGGGAGGGAGATAGGTAGGGATGGGGATAGGGAGGGAGGGAGGGATGGAGGGAGATAGGGAGGGATGGGGATAGGGGGGATGGGGATAGGGATGGAAATAGGGAGGGAGAGAGGGAGGGATGGAGATAGGGAGGGATGGGGATAGGGAGGGAGATAGGGAGAGAGGGAGATAGGGAGGGATGGGGATAGGGAGGGATGGGGATAGGGAGGGATGGAGATAGGGAGGGAGGGAGGGAGGGATGGAGGGAGATAGTGAGGGAGGGGGATAGGGATGGAGATAGGGAGGGAGAGAGGGAGGGATGGAGATAGGGAGGGATGGGGATAGGGAGGGAGATAGGGAGAGAGGGAGAGAGGGAGGGATGGAAATAGGGAGAGATGGAGATAGGGATGGAGGGAGATAGGGAGGGATGGGGATAGGGAGGGAGGGAGATAGGGAGGGAGAGAGGGACATAGGGATGGAGGGAGATAGGGATGGACATAGGGAAGGATGGAGGGAGGGATGGAGACAGGGAGGGATGGAGATGGGGGGGAGGGAGGATGGAGAGAGGGAGTTAGGCAGGGAGGGATTGAGATAGGGATGGAGACAGAGATGGAGGGAGGGATGGAGAGAGGGAGGCTAAGCATTGAGGGATGGGGACAGGGAGGGTTGGAGACAGGGAGGGATGGAGATAGGGAGGGAGGGAGGGATGGAGACAGGGAGGGATGGAGATAGGGAGGGAAGCAGGGTGGGAGGGAGGGAGAGACAGAGGTGGATGGCACGGCAGAGGAAAGGATGGAGAGAGGGAAGGAATGGAATGGAGTCAGGGAGGGATGGAGGCAGGGAGAGATGGAAGGAAGGGGGGAGAGAGGGATGGAGGCAGGGATGGAGGGAGGGAGGAATGGAAGCACGGAGGGAGGGAGGGAGGCAGGAAGGGATGGAAGGAGGGAGGGAGGCAGGGAGATGGGTGGAGAGATGGAGGCATAGAGGGAGGGAAGGATGCAGGGAGGGATGGGATGGAGGCAGGGCTGCAATGGGGAAGCACCAGCTCCTCCCCTTCAGGCCATTGGGGCACCCGGACCCCTCGTTGTGTGTGTGTGGGGGGGGCACAACGAGGGGTGCTCGTCCCTGCCCGGGTGACCTTGAGTGGGTGCCACCGGTGTCCCCAGCCCCACACCCAGCCCCACACCCAGCCCCACACCCAGCCCCACACCGCGCTGCTGGCTCGGCCTTCCCCAGGCCCAGCCCTGGGGGGGGTCCCAGCCCCATCGCTGTGTGCGAGGTGGGGGGGGGGGGGGTTGGAGCCTGCGCAGGGTGCCCATGGGTGATTCCCGGTATTCCCGGTATTCCCGGTATTCCCGGCTCCCCCTAGCTCCGTTTAAATCCACATCGCGGGTTTCTATGGCAACGGGGCCGAGGAGAAGATGCTCCGGGGGGGGGGGGGGGGTGAGATGGGGAAAGGAGGGAGGACAAGGAAGGGACTTCCACCCTGCCGGCCTCATTAGCGCCTCATTAGCATCTCATTAGCATCTCGTTAGGCAGCCCGCCTCATTAGGGAGCTCAGTCACTGGGTCAGTGGGGAAAGGGGCCGAGGAGCGGCGCTGGCACCGGGGCCACCAAACCCCATTGAAGGCGCTTGGGGGGGGGGGGATGCTCCGGGTGACCTTGGGCAAGGGCATTGGGGGTGCGGAGGGACATCGGTGGCCCCACATCGATGGCCACAAGCACTGGTGGCCCCACATTGATGGCCCCACATTGATGGCCCCAAAGCACCGGTGTCCCCAAGCCCTGGTGTCCCCATATTGATGGCCCCATATTGATGGCCCCAATCATCGATGTCCCCACATTGATGGCCCCATAGCACCGGTGTCCCCAAGCCCTGGTGTCCCCATATTGATGGCCCCACATTGATGGCCCCACATTGATGGCCCCACATTGATGGCCCCAAAGCACCGGTGTCCCCAAGCCCTGGTGTCCCCATATTGATGGCCCCACATTGATGGCCCCAATCATTGATGTCCCCACATTGATGTCCCCAAAGCACCGGTGTCCCCAAGCCCTGGTGTCCCCATATTGGTGGTCCCACATTGATGGCCCCACATTGATGGCCCCAATCATCGATGTCCCCATATTGATGGCCCCACACTGATGGCCCCAAAGCACCGGTGTCCCCAAGCCCTGGTCTCCCCATATTGATGGCCCCATATTGATGGCCCCAATCATCAATGTCCCCACATTGATGGCCCCAAAGCACCGGTGTCCCCAAGCCCTGGTGTCCCCATATTGATGGCCCCACAATCATGGCCCCATATTGACATCCCCAAGCACCGGTGTCCCCAAGCCTTGATGGCCCCAGGCATCAGTGTCCCCACATTGATGGCCCCACATTGATGTCCCCAAGCTCTGATGTCCCCACATTGGTGTCCCCAAGAACCGATGTCCCCACATCGATGTCCCCACATTGATGTCCCCATCCCCAATGTCCCCACATTGATGTCCCCACATCGATGTCCCCACATTGATGTCCCCATCCCCAATGTCCCCACATTGATGCCCCCACATCAATGTCCCCACATTGATGTCCCCAATGTCCCCAATGATGCCCCCACATTGATGCCCCCACATCAATGTCCCCACATTGATGTCCCCCAGCCCCAATGTCCCCACATTGATGTCCCCACATCGATGCCCCCACATCAATGTCCCCACATTGATGTCCCCCAGCCCCAATGTCCCCACATCGATGTCCCCATATCAATGTCCCCACATCGATGTCCCCACATTGATGTCCCCCAGCCCAATGTCCCCACATCGATGTCCCCACATTGATGTCCCCACATCGATGTCCCCACATCAATGTCCCCACATCGATGTCCCCACATTGATGTCCCCATATCAATGTCCCCACATCAATGTCCCCACACTGATGTCCCCACATCGATGCCCCCATATCAATGTCCCCACATCGATGCCCCCATATCAATGTCCCCACATCGATGTCCCCACATCGATGTCCCCACATCGATGCCCCCACATTGATGTCCCCCAGCCCCAATGTCCCCACATTGATGTCCCCCAGCCCCATGTCCCCACATTGATGTCCCCACATTGATGTCCCCACATCGATGTCCCCACATTGATGTCCCCACATTGGTGTCCCCACATCGATGTCCCCACATCGATGTCCCCCAGCCCCATGTCCCCACATTGATGTCCCCACATTGATGTCCCCATATCAATGTCCCCACATTGATGTCCCCACATTGATGTCCCCATCCCCAATGTCCCCACATTGATGTCCCCATCCCCAATGTCCCCACACTGATGTCCCCACATCGATGTCCCCACATCAATGTCCCCACATCGATGTCCCCACACTGACGTCCCCCAGCCCCGATGCCCCCCCAGCCCTTCCTGGGACAGGCCCTGCTCCCACTGGCACTGCCTGGGATCAGGGAATGATTTATGGGGCACAAGTGTCCGGGCATGGAGCCCCCGGGCATGGAGCCCTGGCTGGGGGCCATGGGGCCACCACCACCACCTTGGGGACAAGGACACGGGGGGGGAACCTTGGGGATGGGGAGGGGGGGTTTTGGGGTGCGGGGGGGGGGTTTTGGGGTCCTCATTCTCCCCCTTGTGTCGTCCCCCCCCGTCCCCATTGCAGATCCGAAGGCGCCGACCGACCCCTGCCAACCTGGTGCTGAGCAGTGACCAGTCATCCCCAGGTGCGACCCCATGCAGGGACCCCGGGGGGGTGCTCGGGGACCCCATATGGTGCTATGGGACCCCCCCATATGGTGCTATGGGACCCCCCCATATGGTGCTATGGGACCCCCCAGTAGGATGCTTCAGGACCCCCTCTTTCCCATTTAATGCTCAGGAACAGCTTAGAAGATGCTCAGGGACCCCCCATAAGATGCTCAGGGCCCCCCCATAAGATGCTCAGGGACCCCCCTATAGGATGCTCAGGCCCCCCTGCCCCATGTGATTGCCAGGCCCCCCCCAATACAATGCTCAGGACCCCCCATATGACGCTCAGAACCCCCCATATGACAATCAGAACCCCCATATGACACTCAGGACCCCCTATGTGACACTCAGAACCCCCCATATGACACTCAGGACCCCCCATATGACACTCAGGACCCCCTATGTGACACTCAGGACCCCCATATGACACTCAGAGCCCCCCATATGACACTCAGGACCCCCATATGACACTCAGAACCCCCCATATGACACTCAGGACCCCCCATATGACACTCAGAACCCCCCATATGACACTCAGGACCCCCATATGACACTCAGGACCCCCTATGTGACACTCAGAACCCCCATATGACACTCAGGACCCCCCATATGACACTCAGAACCCCCCATATGATACTCAGGACCCCCCATATGACACTCAGGACCCCCCATATGATGCTCAGAACCCCCCATATGACACTCAAGACCCCCTATATGACAGACAGTACCCCCCATATGACACTCAGAACCCCCCATATGACACTCAGGACCCCCCATATGACACTCAGAACCCCCCATATGACACTCAGGACCCCCCATATGACACTCAGAACCCCCCATATGACACTCAGGACCCCCATATGACACTCAGGACCCCCCATATGACACTCAGAACCCCCCATATGATGCTCAGAACCCCCCATATGATGCTCAGGACCCCCCATATGACACTCAGGACTCCCATATGACACTCAGAACCCCCCATATGACACTCAGGACCCCCATATGATACTCAGGACCCCCTATGTGACACTCAGAACCCCCCATATGACACACAGTACCCCCCATATGACACTCAGAACCCCCCATATGACGCTCAGAACCCCCCATATGACACTCAGGACCCCCCATATGATACTCAGAACCCCCCATATGACACTCAGAACCCCCCATATGACACTCAGAACCCCCCATATGACGCTCAGGACCCCCCATATGACACTCAGAACCCCCCATATGACACTCAGAACCCCCCATATGACGCTCAGGACCCCCCATATGACACTCAGAACCCCCCATATGACACTCAGGACCCTCTATATGACAGACAGTACCCCCCATATGACACTCAGGACCCCCCATATGACACTCAGAACCCCCCATATGACACTCAGGACCCCCCATATGAGGCTCAGGACCCCCATATGACACTCAGAACCCCCCATATGACACTCAGGACCCCCCATATGACACTCAGGACCCCCCATATGACACTCACGACCCCCCATATGACACTCAGAACCCCCCATATGACGCTCAGAACCCCCCATATGAGGCTCAGGACCCCCATATGACACTCAGAACCCCCCATATGACACTCAGGACCCCCCATATGACGCTCAGAACCCCCCATATGAGGCTCAGGACCCCGCACCGGGTCTCATCCTGCCCCCCCCCCCAGCCTGGCACCATCCCCACATCCCTGTGCCCGCTCCCAGGCTCCCCCCATCCATCTCCCTGGGCAGCAGCTGCCTGGATGGGACCGTGCCAGCGACACCGGAGCCACAGGCACGGGGCCCCCCCCCCCCCGGTGACATTTCAGTGCCCCCAGCCCGGAACGTGGCCTTTGGGGGCAGGCACGGCCCCCCAACCCCCCCCCCCACCGAATGGATCAGCTCCGTGGGGCTCAGCATCACTTATAGGGCTCAGGATGCAGCCCCATAGTGTTGAGGGCATGAGGGGTTGGATGCTGGTTGCCATGGCGACATAGGGAGTGCTGGTGATGCTGGGGGTCCCATGGTGCCTCCCATTGGGGTGCAGGATGGAGCCCAGCACCCATCACTTGGTCCTCCTGTATCCCACCATTGGGGATGCAGGATGGAGCCCAGCACCCATCACTTGGTCCTCCTGTATCCCACCATTGGGGATGCAGGATGGAGCCCAGCACCCATCACTTGGTCCTCCTGTATCCCACCATTGGGGATGCAGGATGGAGCCCAGCACCCATCACTTGGTCCTTCTGTATCCCACCATTGGGAATCAGGATGAAACCCAGCACCCATCACTTGGTCCTCCTGTATCCCACCATTGGGGATGCAGGATGAAACCCAGCACCCATCACTTGGGCCTTCTGTATCCCACCATTGGGGATGCAGGATGAAACCCAGCACCCATCACTTGGTCCTCCTGTATCCCACCATTGGGGATACAGGATGGAGCCCAGCACCCATCACTTGGTCCTCCTGTATCCCACCATTGGGGATGCAGGATGAAACCCAGCACCCATCACTTGGTCCTTCTGTGTCCCACCATTGGGGGGATGCAGGATGGAGCCCAGCACCCATCACTTGGTCCTTCTGTATCCCACCATTGGGAATCAGGATGAAACCCAGCACCCATCACTTGGTCCTCCTGTATCCCACCATTGGGGATGCAGGATGGAGCCCAGCACCCATCCTGACCCCTCGGTCCTTCTGTGTCCCCCCCCATAGAGATCGATGAGGACCGGCTGCCCAACCCCTTGCTCAAGGTAGGTGCTGCCTCTATGGGGTGGGGGTACCCCTATGGGTCCCCCCCCATTCACTGAAGCCCCCTCCCTCAGTCAGGCCTGGCCATGTCCCCCCGGCAGAGGAAGAAGGTTTCCCGCAGCACCCCCACCATGAAAGGTAATTTGGGGGGGGGGACACGGGGCACTTAGGGGGTGCCCATGGGGCAGAGTGGAAGGTGGGAGGTGGGGGGGGGAGCATGGGGACGGTCACCAGTGCCCCCCCCCGCCCGGCAGAGCTGCAGATGATGGTGGAGCATCACCTCTGCAAGCAGGAGCCAGGGGAGGAAGAGGAGGAGGAGGAGGAAGGAGCCCCCCATTGTCGGGGGGGGGACGGCAGCGCCAGCCCCAAGCACCAAGGGGATCCCGGCCCTGGTGAGAGCAATGGGGGCAATGAGGAGGGGAGGGGTTAAAGGGGGTTTAAGGGGGGGGGGGGAAGGGGCTCACCCCCCAGCACCCACAGGGACCCCCGGGGATGGGAGACGGAGCCAGGCCAAGGAGGGCACCCACAGAGCACCAAAGGAAGGCACCGGGAAAGGGGCTGCAGGAGGCCAGTAGGTGAGTGCTGGGCAATGGGGGAATGGGGGAAATGGGGGGAATGGGGGGTAATGGGGGTAATGGGGGCAATGGGGGCAAGGGGGGTAATGGGGGCAATGGGGGCAAGGGGGGCAATGGGGGTAATGGGGGCAATGGGGGCAATGGGGGCAATGGGGGTAATGGGGGCAATGGGGGCAAGGGGGGTAATGGGGGCAATGGGGGCAAGGGGGGTAATGGGGCAAGGGGGGCAATGGGGTCAATGGGGCAATGGGGGTAATGGGGGTAATGGGGGTAAATGGGGGCAAGGGGGGTAATGGGGGCAAGGGGGGTAATGGGGGTAATGGGGGTAATGGGGGCAATGGGGCCAAGGGGGCAATGGGGGCAATGGGGACAATGGGGGCAAGGGGGCAATCGGGCTAATGGGGGCAAGGGGGGTAATGGGATTAATGGGGGTAATGGGGGCATGGGGACCAAGGGGATAATGGGGGCAATGTGGGGCAATGGGGACAAGGGGTCAATGGGGGTAATGAGGGCAATGGGGGCACTGGAGCAACGGGGTTAATGGGGGCAAGGGGGGCAATGGGGAGTAATGGGGGCAATGGGGTTCATGGGGTTAATGGGGGCAATGGGGTTAATGGGGGCAAGAGGGGGCAATGGGGAGTAATGGGGGCAATGGGGAGTAATGGGGGCAAGAGGGGGCAATGGGGAGTAATGGGGGCAAGGGGGTTAATGGGGGCAAGAGGGGGCAATGGGGAGTAATGGGGGCAATGGGGTTAATGGGGTTAATGGGGTTAATGGGGGCAATGGGGTTAATGGGAGCACTGGGGAGCTGTACTGGGACATTGGGGCAAGGGGGGGGGGGGGGAGCACTGGGACCACCCCGCAGGTCCTTGAGCGCCACCCAGAGGACAGTGACGGGGGTGCAGGGGGGGCATCGCTGGGGCTGGAGATTTTGGGGGGGGGGGGACACGGGGGAACGACCCCCTCCCCATGGGGCTCCCTTGCCCCATCGCTGCCCCCCTTTGCCCCCAGGCCCTCCCCCCCCCCCCTCCGGAGCTGCCACCTCCCCTTTTCTATGAGAGCCTTTTCTAGACGCCAGCGGCCGCTGTGGGGCTCCCCCAGGGCAGGTCCCCCCGGGGGGGGCTGTGGGGACAAGGGGCAGCCGGGCTGCCCCCCCCCCCATCCCCTGCCTCCCCCCACCCCCAATGGGTGACACCCCCCCCACTGCACCCCCATCCCTTGGGGGGGGGGGGGGCAGAGGGAGCTGCCCCCCCCCCACATCCCACACGTGTGATGCGCACACACATGCACCATGGGGGGGGGGGGCATGTGCACACATGGACACGGGAAGGGGATAAAGGGGGGGGGGGGGGCACTCCTGCACCCTTTGCACCACACGGAACACGCGTGTTCACGCGTGACGAGCGGGTCGTGTCCCCCCCACCCACCCAAGCCGGTATTAAAGGGATCCCTTCTCCCCATGGCTTCATCTTTGCCTTTACGCTTGGGGGGGGTCAGACCCCATTTTTTGGGGAGGGGGGGGGGGGGGCAGCAGCCATGGGACCCCCTTGTCCCCATTCCCGGTGTTCCCATTGAGGGAGGAGGCGATGGGGTCCAGGCTGGTGGTGGTGGTTTATTCATTGCTCGATAGCGGTGCTGCTGCGGCGCGGTCTCACATGCGTGTGCGGGGGGGGGGATAAAGGACAAACACGGACGGGGCCCCCCCCTTCCACATGGGTGATGGGCACCGACGGGAAGGGAGGCGGAGATGGGAGCTGGGGGGATGTCGGAGCTGGAGGATGCTCAGATCACACCAGGGTACCAAAGGATGCTCGAGCACGCTGGATCCGGGATGCCAAAGGATGCTCGGAGCACACGGGGATGCTGGAGGATGCTCGGAGCACACCCGGATACCAAAGGATGCTCGGAGCACACCGGGATGCCAAAGGATGCTCGGAGCACACCGGGATGCCAAAGGATGCTCGGAGCACACCGGGATACCAAAGGATGCTCGGAGCACACCAGGATGCTGGAGGATGCTCGGAGCACACCGGGATACCAAAGGATGCTCGGAGCACACTAGGATGCTGGAGGATGCTCGGAGCACACCAGGATGCCAAAGGATGCTCAGAGCACACCTGGATACCAAAGGATGCTCGGAGCACACCGGGATGCCAAAGGATGCTCGGAGCACACCAGGATGCCAAAGGATGCTCGGAGCACACCGGGATACCAAAGGATGCTTGGAGCACACTGGGATGCCAAAGGATGCTCGGAGCACACCTGGATACCAAAGGATGCTTGGAGCACGCCGGGATGTCGGAGGATGCTCGGAGCACACCGGGATGCCAAAGGATGCTCGGAGCACACCAGGATGCTGGAGGATGCTCAGAGCACACCGGGATACCAAAGGATGCTCAGAGCACACCGGGATACCAAAGGATGCTCAGAGCACACCGGGATGCCAAAGGATGCTCAGAGCACACCAGGATACCAAAGGATGCTCAGAGCACACCGGGATGCCAAAGGATGCTCGGAGCACACCGGGATACCAAAGGATGCTCGGAGCACACCGGGATGCCAAAGGATGCTCGGAGCACACCGGGATGCCAAAGGATGCTCAGAGCACACCGGGATGCCAAAGGATGCTCGGAGCACACAGGGATGCCAAAGGATGCTCAGAGCACACCGGGATGCCAAAGGATGCTCGGAGCACACCGGGATGCCAAAGGATGCTCAGAGCACACCGGGATACCAAAGGATGCTCAGAGCACACCGGGATGCCAAAGGATGCTCGGAGCACACCAGGATGCCAAAGGATGCTCGAGGGATGCACAAGGATGCCAGGGCAGGAGGATGCTGGAGCTGGAGGATGCTCGAGGCACACTGGGATGCTGGAGGATGCTCATGGAATGCCAGGAGCTGGGATGCTCAAGGCACACCCGAGCTTGGGGACCAGAGCGGGAGGATGCTGGAGCTGGAGGATGCTCGAGCGCACCAGAGCCGGGTGCCAGAGGAGGGTCCAGGCACACCGGAGCCGGGATGCTGGGAGCTGTTGGATGCACACTGGGACCAGGATGGCAGAGGGTACTGGAGGGACACTGGGAGCTGGGATGCCAGAGCTGGAAGATGCTGGAGCACGCTGGAGCTGGGATGCTGGAGGATGCTCAAAGCACACCAGGACCAGGATGCTGGAGGGACACTGGGAGCCGGGATGCCAGTGCAGGAGGATGCCGGAGCTGGAAGATGCTCGAGCACACCAGAGCCGGGATTGCTGGAGGATGCTCAAGGGACACTGGGATGCAGGAGGATGCTCCAGGCCCATGGGATGCAGGAGGATGCTCCATGCCCATGGGATGCAGGAGGATGCTCCAGGCCCATGGGATGCAGGAGGATGCTCCATGCCCATGGGATGCAGGAGGATGCTCCAGGTCCATGGGATGCAGGAGGATGCTCCATGCCCATGGGATGCAGGAGGATGCTCCAGGTCCATGGGATGCAGGAGGATGCTCCAGGCCCATGGGATGCAGGAGGATGCTCCAGGCCCATGGGGTGCTGGAGGATGCTGGAGGCAGAGCAGGGCAGGAGGAAGCAGGGAAGGGGGATACCAAGGGCACTGCTGGAGCCACTGATACTGGAAGCACCCTGGAGCTGGGGGACCCTGGGGGGACACCAGCTGGGGGGGGACACACAGACACCACACCAGAGCCAGGGGCTGGTCCTGCCACCTCCACCCCATTCCCAGCTCCCGCTCCAGCCCCATCACCACCTCCCTGCCCCGTATCCCATAGGGCAGGAGCCCAGGGGACCCCCTTGAGGCGCCCCACAGGGGACGTGCCACCCTTTGGGGGTTGCAATGGGGACGCCCATCACCGGGTGCCCCCAGCAGGGCAGCGGTGCCATGGGTGCCCCCATGTGTGCGTGTGTGTCCCCCCCCCAGCACTGGGGCGAGGAGAAGCTCTATTAAAAAGCCATCGTTGTGGCCCGAACCCCTTGGGTTCGCTGTGGCAGTGACAGGCTCGGTGCCACCGGCCCCGGGGACCGGCTCAAAACAGGCCCATGGTAAAGTGGGGGGGGGGGGGGGATGCTCCGGGGGTCCCCATCCCGGGAATGCTCCCGGCACCGATCCTTGCGCGTCCCCGGGCGGCTCCGTCCCTGTGGATGGGGCTGGGCTCGATGGTGTCAAAGACTTTGGGTGAGACGGTGGCACTTGGCTGGATGAGGACCTGGCGGCACGGGGATGGGTATGGGGTCACAGCGATGCTGCTGCCACCACCACCACCACCCCCTCCCGGTGTTCCCGGTGTTCCCGGTGTTCCCACCTCGCTCTTCCCGGCGTTATTCCACGTCCCCGTTGTGCCGGTGCTGGTCGGGCCCCGGCTGCTCCTCGCTGGGTGAGAGCTCATCAATGGATGACTGGTCCGTGATGCCTAGGGAGGGACGTGGGGATGGAAGGGGGCTGCTGACCCCCGGCTCAGCCCCATAGACTGGGGGAGCCCATCATGGGATGTGCTGGCCATGGTGGCAATGGTGACCGTTGTGGCCATAGCAACCGTGGTGGCCATGGTGGTCATGGTGGCTATGATGACCATGGTGACCGTAGTGGCCATGGTAACCACAGTGGCCATGGTGGTCATGGTGGTCATGGTGGCAATGGTGACCATGGTGACCGTAGTGGCCATGGTAACCACAGTGGCCATGGTAGTCATGGTGGCAATGGTGACCGTTGTGGCCATAGTGGCCATGGTGTCCATGGTGGTCATGGTGGCAATGGTGACCGTTGTGGCCATAGTGGCCATGGTGGCCATGGTGGTCATGGTGGCTATGATGACCATGGTGACCATAGTGGCCATGGTGTCCATGGTGGTCATGGTGGCTATGATGACCATTGTGACCATAGTGGCCATGGTGTCCATGGTGGTCATGGTGGCTATGATGACCATGGTGACCGTAGTGGCCATGGTGTCCATGGTGGTCATGGTGGCTATGATGACCATGGTGACCGTAGTGGCCATGGTGTCCATGGTGGTCATGGT